CACACCCTCAGGAGCCCGGTAACTCGATCTACACATGCTCAGGCAGGGCCCAGAAGAGTCTAACTCAGGAAAAGAATCAGGCTATGAAACAGTATACATAGTATACACTACTATCACACAGCACCTACACAAACACGCACAATGCACACACCCATGAATACAAGGTTACACGTCCAAAACCCCACATGCACACGGACAGATCCATTGCCAAGGGAGAGTTCCAGTCCCTCTGACCTGTTCTTGGTGGTGACTCAGACACCTGCTCAGACCGCTGCTCACATCCTCAGCTTCTCTTGAGGAGAGTCAGTATCCAGATCAAGACAACATTACCTGTGACACCTGTGCTTCTACAGACCTTTATGTTCCTTAACTGGTGCTAGAGGAAGAAAAGAGGTTTAAATTACCAGGGAGAGGGCTGAGACAGATTCTCCTCAAGCTTCCTGCGAAGGGAGAAGTCTTCGTGGCTGATTCATTAATTTCTTATTGTCCTTTGGGGAACAGTGCATCCAGGAGCCAAGAGGTTGAACCATTGGAGTCCCAGGGGATGGTGTCCCTATGTCAGGGATGCCGGGACTCCTCTCTTCTTCATCATGGTTCCAGCAAGGATGCAGGAGTTATTAAGATTTTCATTTTGAAAGGACTTCAGACTCACGGAAAGATTTTTAAGAATGATACAGAGAATTTCTATATATCATTCACTCAGATTGACTACAAGTTAACATTTGACCATGTTTGCTTTGCTAGTAGTAGTAGTAGTAGTTTGTGTCTAAGATTTAGGCTTCAAATCTTTCCCAGGTATACCACAGTGAATATTATCAGAAGGAAATAAGATATCGATTTTTCCAAATACTGGTCATTTTAAGTTTGGTCAATTGTCTAAGATTCCATTCACCAGTTTCTCTACACTAAGTTACTATTTTTTTGTCTTCTTAATCAATAATTATTACTTGTGTAACATGCTTTTTCTTATAAAAATTTCACCCACTTTATTTTTTAAAAAAAAATTATTGTGATTTGACTCAAAGTTTGAAGAACAAATTCATCTTTCATATAGCAGTTCACATACACTTTGTCTCATGAAATTGACTGTAATCTCCCACAGTGCAACAGCTCTCCTCCCACTTCTTCCCCATAGCCACCTCTTCCCTGTGTCCTTCCCTCCCATGCACTCCTGCTCCCCGAGCTGTCTCCCTGTGCATGCACAGCCCTTCTGTTCTCCCATGATTGATCTCTCCAAAGAGTGTATCTACCTAATGTAAATGTTTAGTTCATATGTCTATCTTTTGTTTGCCTGGAAGCCATAGGTTTGGATTCAGTTCCAGACCTGAAGGGGAGCTAGGGGCCACAGTCTCAGGGGTTCCACCCAGTTCCATCAGACCAGCAAACCTGGTCCCCCCTTTTTTTTTTTTATGATTTTGAGTTTTGTTACACATTGTTCTCCCACTCTATCCAGGATTTCCTACATAGATCCCCCTCCGTGTGGTTGATGGTGGTAGCCAGACACCATCTAGTTCTTCTGGTCTCATAGTCATGTAATCTTCCATTTATGTAGATCTCTTATGGTTTCTTGAAGTAGTCTTTTGTTTTCTTTGTACAGGTCTTTTGTGTCCCTGGTAAGATTTATACCACATATTTTATTTTTTTGGTGTTGTTGTTGTTGTTGTTAACTGCCATCACGTCATCTCTGACTCTCTGTACAGCTGAACAAAACACTGCCTGGCCCTGTGCCAGCTCTGCATTCCCTGCTGTAACTGAGCCCATCGTTGCAACCACTGTGTCAATTCACCTTGTTGGGGGCCTTCACCTTCTTCGTTGATCCTCCACATTGCCAAGCATGATATCTTCTCCAGGGAACAGTCCCTTCTTACAATATGACCAAAGTAGGTGAGACAACATCTGGCCATTCTTGCTTCCAAGGAGCATTCCTGCTGCACTTCCTCCAGGACAGATTTGCTAGTTCTTTTAGGAGTCCCTGGTACTTTTCAGCATTCTTCACCAATGTTCTTCACCAATTTTTTTTTTTTTGGTAGTTATTGTAAATGATATTTATTTCCTTATTTCTTTCTTCAGCAATCTCTTTGCTGGTGTTGAGGAATCCACTAATTTTTGGATGTTGATCTTGTATCCTGCCACTATGCTAAATCTCTCAATTAGTTCCAGCAGTTTTTTCACTAAGTCTTGTGTTTTCTAGGTATAGGATCATATCATCACCAAATAGGGATAGTTTTACTTCTTCCTTACCAATCTGAATGCCTTTGATTTCCCTTTCTTGCCTTATTGCCCTGGCT